CGCACATGCTGACACCCCTCAGCCCTGCTGTTCGAACGGCCACAGCCTATGCCACGAACCCCCCCAAACCATATAACAAGATCGAAGATATCACAAGCAAGGTTTCTGGAATCCCAAACAGTGGAGCGCTCCCGCAAATCCTACAATCTCAGACAAAGCCCCAGCGGCCAAGCGCCGACCGTCCAGAGCGAAAGCAAAGCCGTGGAAGCGGGTCACCTGGGCACGATGCCGGGTTCGGGCCCGCAAACCCTGGACCCTTTTTTTCCTAAAACCCTAAGCCCTGAACTATTCCCAAAGCAATCCTAAATCCCAATTTAGAAGCCTGAGCTCAGTTTTTCGGGCTAAAGGAAGAGTTTATGGGTTTAGGGTTAGGGTTAGGGTTTAGGGTTACTTGTGGAAATGAAGCTTCCGCTTCATTCAGGAATTGGCTCGATGGTTAGATACGAGGATACAAAGCATAGGTAAAGTGCCATGGCTGAGAGTTCAGTGGGGTGTGACCTTGTTTGTGTTGACAACGCTGTCTAACGATTCTTTGAAATGGACGGACTTAGGGCATTGGATATAACCTTTCTACATTTAGCGCTTGGGGCTTGGGCATGGAACCGAATACATACTTTGATCGAGTTATTTCTTTGTTTATATGTACATATAATCTATGTACATATTTGTAACCATGGTGATGCTACTGCAGACTCTCTCTCTCTCTCTCTCTCTCTCTCTCTCTCTCCGCTGCTGCTGCTGCCATCCGACCAAACGACAGGACCACTCAAGACTGTAACCACCTAGCCAATTTGTAGACCTGCCGCAGGAACACAAAAACGCCAACGGCCTGCACGCAGACTAAGCGCCGGAGCAAAAAAACTGCTGCTTCATGCAGATGCTCACCCATCAAGGCTTGGGACCTAGGGTGTAAGAGATTGAATTGCAAGAAAACCCGATTGAAACTTCTCGGTGCAACTCGAACATAAACTACCTGCAAAACCTACATGTTCCAACTATGCAAGTTGCTGCACTCATACCCAAACGACGAGACTCTCGTCGAAAAGAGGTCAGGGTTGGCCGAGTCGCTCGGATTCGTGGAAGGTCGCCCTCCTGTGGTGACTACATACACATAAGTATATAAAATCAAAACACACATACACATACATATATATATATATATATATATATCTATATATGTAATTGTGTATATCATGTGTAAACAGACTTGGCACATGAGTGGCCCTGAACGCATGCGAAACATCAACTACCCAACCCACAGCCCTGGAGCCTCATCTCCCATTCGCAGCTTCCCGGCCCGCAACGCCTGCGCGTGCTTTGAAGGGGTCTTATCAGGGATACTATAGGGGATCTACAAAGGACTATAATATGGGAGTCTCAAAAATTACCCATAAAATGCAATGAACCTAAAGAGAGTGTGTGTTCCCTTGCCACTGAAGACTTGCACCCATCCAGAATGAGTCTGGGCATTGTGTCTTCAAGGCAATCCGGAATCGTGCCGCGACTTCAGTGCGTGGATTGAAACATTTCCGGCACTCAAGAACCCTCAACCACCCAATGTAAGTGAGCGCAATGCCCACCGCATGAGGCGAGCCTCTACAGTGTCCTCAAGGCTTTCGCCTGTTTCCTTGGCGTGAAGTGACTGGGATGCTTTGGAGCTCCACAAAAGTTGCTCCCTCTGCGAATTTACACCTCGCAAATCAAAAACTACTTCAACTAGCTGGTCGTCTTCAGGAGCGACCAGAGAAGGATGCTCTCGTCCGCTTAGGGTTCGGGCTTCAGGTGATATGCAATGTAATGAGGTCCTCATAGTTCATCTTTGAGTCCCCCAAGTCTCGCAAAAAGCAGTGGACAATGCAAGGACACCTGTCGGTGGCACAATCCCTGTTCCTCTGTCTGGTTGCTGGTATACCGTTGCCGGGGATGCTACTGCCACTGATACTGCTTCTGATGGTGGTGTCCTCGTGGTAATTCATGCGAAATCCAGCCCCTGACAAACTTCGAAGGACATGCTCCACTATAAAAGAAACGAGTGGGACTCGATCTTTCTAATGCTCAGTCTCGAAGTGGCTAGCGATGACGTCGCAGATCAAACCTCGGGCACTTGCGTTTGTTTTTGGGGTGCGAGGATGACGTTGAAACGTTTTAACTTTCAGAAACACAACTACCTTACAAGATGGGGAACCAAGGATTTCTGTCGGGGCTCTAACGTCACAAGAGTGTGCACTCTAGACAGGAGTGAGTGTGACAGTCGGAGTTCTGGCATTTCAGCTCGAAGCCCCGAAAACCTAAATCCAAAGGTTCAGTCTTTATGGGTCAGGAACACACGGGTGAGCAGCTTCCAGGAACACACACGCGCCTCCGATCCTTGCACAAGCTACGAAACAGTTGCTCACATACATGTGTATATCAACGAGAAATGCCAAGACCTAGAAGGGAAGCGCTAGATAAAGAGAGATGCAGCAAGAAGAGAAAGACGTCGAAGGAAATACTGCTTGTGTTTCTACCAGCATACAATCCTGAGTTTTATGACAACCCACTTCCTCCAGAATTCATACGGCCCCAACTTCCTCACGAGCCGGTGTAGGGGTTAGGTCCCGGATCATTTGCCCTCAACCCTGAACTCGAAACACATAAATAAGGAGTTTCCGGACATGGGGGACCCTAGTATAGTACCCTGAATGGTAGGATCCTTCCTACAAGGACCCCAAGATAAGGCACCCCGAATTTTCGGAAACTCACCAAATCCTGAACCCCTAAACCCTTTTTGCATCGGGCCTTTACCACCGCCCTAAACCCTAAACCTTGAACCGCTGAACCCTTAAGTTTATATTGCAGCAGACTGCTGATCTGCTGGAGGGGCAGCTCGATCAAGCGCCTCGCGAAGATCCCCTCCTCTGGAGCCTCTCGTCGTCAGAAGAGGTGATAAAGTGTGAAAGAAACGGTTTAGGGTTTTTTGAGCTCCTTTTGCGGAACGGTCTAGGGTTTAGGGTTTTGGGCTTGGGGACTATACTGTGCCTTACGGGCTTTCATAGTTTAGATGGCGGGTTGGGAAGCATGCGAACATGTTGCCCCTATGCCACAACAACAACCACCAAGACGCCACGAAACCACGAAGACACCAGGGGCAAACTGCTTCCCCCAAGTTCTGGCAGAATTCAGGAGTATCCTCCGCAGTATTGGTGCATTCAGTCTCAGTAGCACGGCCAAAATGCCTTTGCACAAATATTGGTGGAATTCAAGAGCACGACTCGTTGTGCTTCCCCCCAAATACTGGCTGGATTCGAAGGATGGCAAAATGCTTTTACAAGTGCTTGGGGGGATTCACAACTTTCGAAGGCACTACGTAGGCGCACCATGTACTGGAACTTACACTTAGTGACTTAGTGTCGCTGCTGGGAACGCACTCAGTGCCTCCTGTGTAAATATAAGAAACCGCCGACTACGCACGTAGCCGCGTACGGGAAAGCTTTTGCCTCGCGGGGTCGACCAATATGCTTGAAACCTAACGTGAGAGCCTCAGAGTGTGTGCCACACTGTTGAGGCAATAGAAATCACAGCTGTGGCACCCTCGGTGCACAGCCTGTCCACTCCCAACCTTCAGAGAATGACAAAACCCGTGGACCCCCGTTTGAAGCTAAGGAGAGATCCTGTTCGGGGTCTAAGACGTTCTGCTTATGTTGAGGGCTTTGGGGATTTCTGGGTAGTCCCCGAGACGCTAAACTCTAAAACCTAAATGCCATCAACATTAAACTTGAAAGCCTGGCCTGGTCCGCTTTTTTCTGGGCGCTACGGTCAACACCTCGGACATCACAACATTTGCCACCGGAGGAATGCAATGAGGAAATAAGTTCCTTTAAGGAACCCCTTTACGACCTTGCAAAGGAACACTCATGAGGCCCGAAAGGGAACCTCAAAGAAGGTTCTTCCGGCTTTCCCTTTGCAAGCTTTTGCCTCGCTTTGCTTCGGCGATTTGTCAACGCTCCACCCTACCCAGAGAGCCCAATACTCCTTAATCAAGGAATATGGCTTATATTGTATAGGGCTTCATATTATGATTTAAGTTATATCCCTGAATGGGCTCTCTGGGTACTTCAGTAGAAGACGAGTAGAAGGCTTCTCGGGGCAGTGCATGTGCTCGATTCCAAAGATAGCGAGACGTGGGAACGACGTTATTCCACACTCTTCAACTAAAGGGAACTCCAGAAAGTTGGAATATGGTTTCATGGTAGGATACACTATAATTTGACATAGAAGGGTTAGGATAATCATATTCCAACTTTCTGGCTTTTACCTTAAAGGATCCCTCAGGCCCTAAACCACAAACTCAATCTATTGGCTACCACATTCCCAAGATCAAAACCCTAAGCAAACAGGCCGCAGACCTTGAACCTACAGCCTTGCGCAGACTCTACCCGTCACCCAGCAGTGCCAACCTGCAGACTTCGAAACCCTGCCCTGAAGCTTCGAAGCCCAACATCTCAATGCAGGAAAACACCCAATATAGGGGCCTCAATGATTTGAATTGGGTTTTGGGGCCCTCTATACTATAATTATAATAAGGAACCCCCGCAATAGTATAGGTACTTATTTAGGCCCATGTATTATCAACTGAAGCCCGGGACCACAAGGAGTCCTTCATCGAGCGGCGAAGGGCCAAGGGCCGCTCACGCAGCGCGGAAGCGAGCTTCTCCTATACTTGGAGGGTCGGGGGACTTAGTAACTGGTTATTTGAGGGACTTATAAGTACCATAACCCCAATTAGGGTCCCTTTTAGGGTACTTATAAGTCTACTTACTACCTACTTACTAAGTCCCCCGACTCTCCAAGTACTGGGTTTGTGCTCAACTGGACTTTGAAGTAACCACGGAGAAAACAGCATAGACTTTTTTTTCATAATGGTTCCCTTAAGGAACAGGTACCAAAAAAGTATTCAAGTATAGTACTCCAGACCCAGGGCAAGGTCTCGGGTTTGGGCATCTACGGGTCGTCTGAGGGAGTTGAGGACTTCAGCTTCTACCGGGCAGGGTTTAGGTGTTGGGCTTGCTAAGATGAACTGAAGCCTGTGCCTGTCAAGCATTAAGCCGCAAGCTCGCTCAAGGAATCGGTTCAGAACATCCCGCATGACATGTCGAGTGTTGAGCAGCTCTTGTCATAGGTACTACTACGACGACGACAACGGCGACGACTGCCATGTATTATGGCTTCTATCGCAGTCTCGTTGAGCCCTTCGTCATACTTCATGTCCAGCCCTGTCACCGTACTTTGACGATGGGTGCGTGCCAAGCGTCTTTGGACAGCTCTGCGACCTGATATAAGACGTGTCGGGCAAAAACGAATAACAAGCGGTCGAAGCTGTTCAATCCGAGATTCCGGTTTGGCGTTTGAGAAAGCTTACCCGACTGCGGAGACCTTGCTCCCGAAGCCTAGACCGAATCTGCAGACTCTGAACCATAGGCCTTTACGGGTTCTTGCGGCGAGGATCGGAGAAGCTTCGGTCTTATGAGGGTACTTGTAGTAAGGTTTCAAGAAGTGGGGCTTCCAGTATGTTCTCGGAATCTGCGTAGAAACTGAATTACGAGCCTAGGACCTAGCATGCCTTGCTTCGATGAGAGCACTGCCACGCTGAAGGGTCTTTGAGGTGCAGGATTCACGGTGATGGTGCTGAGTTTCAAGTTTTGTGGTGTTGCTTTCCGTTTTCCGCCCCAATTCCCCACAACCCATGAAACCCTTATCGTAACCCTAACCACAGTAACCCTTATGGTAGCTCGTTTGGTAATCCTTACAGCACCAGCCTTTCCTTGAACCCAGGCTCTGCCGATCAGCAGGGAAGCAGCACTTCGTACCCCCTGCTGAGCCCTAGACCCTCAGAAAGTAATCTTAAACCCCTAAGCCCTAAACTAAACCAGCTAAACCCTCAGAAAGTAATCCAAAATCCCTAAACCCTAAACCAACTAAACCGTCAGAAAGTCATCCTAAACCCCTAAGCCCTAAACAAACTAAACCCTTAATACCCTGACATCCCCGGGTTTGAGGCTCTAACTGGCATGCCATTCACTTCGAGGAGGAGCTCTCCTCCCTTCAGACCTGGGGCGAGGAGGGTTTACTACTATGGGGGCCTTGATAGTTAGAATAGGGTTGTGGGGCCCAATATACTATAGTTGTAGTAAGGAACCCCCAAAATAGTATCGCTAATTTTTTTTGGCCCTTCTATTAGGGTTTCGGGTCTAAGGTTTCCGTTGCGGTGTGATATCTGCTGATACTTGCTCGTACCTCGTAGTACCAAGAACTACGTGTTTGTACTATTGCAAGTATGATTATGCTATCATGACCGCTACTAGTTCGGCCATGACGAACAATCGTTTTCCATTGCCACTAATGTAGGAACCTGATAAGGAAACCCTGGGCCTATAAACCCAAAATAGTAGGTTTCATATAAGGAACCCTAATAAAGGCCCAAGGTTTCTTAA